TGCATTATTTACTGTATCTGATTGTCTTCGTGAAGCAGAATCGTTTTTATAATATTAAATTTGCTTTATGACCTTTTAGCATTTATTCAAAGAGAATTGTTTGACTTGGAGCCCATCAAACTTTCAAGTAACCAAACTCGGAATTTACAATTTGTTTCAGAAACCAATCTCTTATTTATTTTATAGTTTTCCTTTCCCCCAAATTTCTTTTGCTTAAGGACTTCATTTCTTTCCCAACTAAACCAATCTCTTAATTAAGTCTATTACTTTGGCTCCGTTTGTTTAGACATAAAATATTTTTTTATTTTCTGATGTTTGTTTGTTGTAAAATATTTACGAAGAAAAAAAAATATTAAAATTTAACAAAAATAATTTATCCATCAATTTTTAACAAATTATTTTACATATCTTACCCAATGAACTCGACCTCAAACTCGACGTAAACCTTTGCCAAACACGACAAAATAAAAACTAAAATATTTTTCAACATCGAAACACGTAGCCTTAGTTTGCATTAGTTTTTTTCCCCAAGTTTGCATTAATTGTACTAGCTAGTTTGAATAACAACAAATTGGATTGACTTTAATAACACTAATTAATTTATTTATTCAATCAAATTTATCTAATTTTATGTTGGGTTCGAACAGAAGTGGTATTTTGGAATTGGAATTTAGAAAGATTTTGTTCAAAATTTTAATTATTATTTTTTAAAATTTTAATTTCAAGATATTAATTTCATGTAACAGAACAAAATAGTTTTATGGATTCTATAAAATACCAAATTTATCTAATTTTAGAAAGGAAAATAAATAAATAAAATAAAATAAAATTCCCAACCACCACCATAGGAGAAAGTATTAGATATCCGGGATATATAAAACACTTTGAGAGAGTGATAGAAAGAGATTAAGAATGAAATATCTTATTGATTAAAAAAAAAAAAAAAGAAGAAAAAAACAACAAACAAAACTTTATGATGGTCTGGCCTCACGTGCATGAGCATGAAGGCAATTGTCTTCTCTGTAAAATAAAAGAGCTTAGTTGGACAAAGTACAAATTCCAATTATTCCATCACCTAAAGCTCTTTAATCATAAAAAGTCAACTGCTCCACATTGAATCACAACCGTTCAATCTCTCCGTATGGCTCACAAGGACCAATCATAGTTTGCCACATCATATTCCACAATATATTTATTATATGTACACGCTATTGACAACTAATTGTTCGGACTTTAGATTAGACAATTAATCTCTCATCATCTTTCCCAAGTCTACAAGTGAATGCCGCCTAGGCTTTTTACTCACTCAAGTTGCTGTGATCGCAGCTGCCATGGGCACACGGTTGACCACAATCGGGGCCGCTCAATATAGTTTGAGGCGGTTAATAATATAAAATCAATTTTTAATATTCAATATATTAATTTTAAAAAATAATTAATTATGTTTGTTTAATAATCACTTTTCTTGCTTTTTGAGATTTAAAGTTAGTAATTAATTTTTTTATTTTTTTATTTTACATAGTAATTATTGTATGCTAGTTTTGTATTTTTTTTTTTTTTTGAGTAATTTACATAGACTTACTTTATGGTTTGCCATAATTATAAGCAGCACCCTTCCTATTTCAGAAATTACGCGGACCTTTCCTATTTTTGAAAATACCTTACACGGACCTCTCTTATGTGTGACGGACCGTTAAATACACTAACAGAGCTGTAGAAATTACTGAAATACCCTATTCTTGGCATCTAAAATTACGAAACTATCCTCTCCATGACATCAGCCTCTTAGTTATACAACTATACATTCATTTGGAGGGAAAATTGCCATTAATGTGTCTGTTTCCCAAAACAGCGTCTTTTCATCTGCCTTACCAAACTAGTGTCATGTATTGTGATCACTTTGAGAGAGAGAACGAACGAACGAACGTTTGGTTAGGGTTTGTGCATATGAAGGATTAACCAAAGATCGCATCAACAGAGGAGTTCGCTTCCCATATTTGGCAACAAATCCAAGTTCGTATTTGCAAAGAATGAGTTAGGGTTTGCGCATAATATAACTTTGTCTTATTGTTATAATCATTAAAATCTGTGACATTAATTACACATTTTGTTTTTGATTTACATTTGCAATACAGATCCATGTACCTTAAATCACCCAAGCTTGAAGCTTTTCCCTTTGAACTTGTAGACATGTTTTCAAAAACGAAAATCCAGATATTTGAAGAACAAATCGTAACCCACAAAACCTTCGTTTTTCTCCAAATATTTGAAGAACAAATCGTAACTCACAAAAATCAAATTTTCATATTTTTGGGAAGATAACAAATCGTAACTCAGAATTCAACCTTTAATTTGTAGATGAACAAAACTTACCCAAATGGAGCCCTAAGTTGCAGACAGATGAACAATCTTCTTCTTTATCATTTTTCTTCAAATTACATAACAATCTTCTTCTTCTTCTTCCTCTCCAAAGCTCCCAATACTTGATTTGCACAACACAACCAATATGGAGCAGCTTCTCACAACGGCAACAGTTTCATCTTCTTCTTCTCTTCAACCCTAAGAGAACCGTTTTGTCGCACAACAGTTATACATGGGTCTTTTATATATATATATATATATATATATATATATACATACATAAAATATATATCATATATAGTAGTGTTCAATTGCTCTCTTGTCAGTAGAGAGTTATATACTCACTTTTAATAGTGGCCTTAGGATTTAATCCGACGGACAACCTTCCTTTCACTGTATTTAGGAAATTTAATAATTCTTTCAATTACCATCCAATTGAAATGACAAAAGTAGACACTCCCTTAAAGAAAACAAAAATAAAAATATTTTATAACTAATTTGAGCAATTGAACACGTAGGAATCAAATAAAAAATTAGTAAGTCTCTTCTGCCCAAAAAATAAAATTAGAGATTATTGTGTACTTTGTGCGAAAAAGAGAGAGAGAGAAAAAAAAAATTCTAAATTACAAGAATTATACTAAAAAGACTTCTCTGAATTACACTAAAAATACTGTCGCCAGTTTCAATGCCATTTCACTAATAATTACAAGAATTTTTGGTTGAGGTTTTGATGGTTAGAGTTCTTTTAATTAAGATATTGTGTTCTTTAAACCTAATTCTAAACTACGTTTTTTGGGCACATGAATAATAAATGTTAGAGATGATACAACCCTAGAAATTACAAATCACAACACATGACTTCATAAATAAATAAAAAAATAAAAAAACAGGTCAGACTAACCATGAACTGAGAAAAAAGAAGTACTATGCTATCAAACTTAAATAATTTTAAACCATCTTAAACTTTAATTGATTTTATGTCAAACACTAAATTGCCAGTGTTTTATTTAATTCCTAATGTTCAATTGACAAATTTAGTAGCAAAATATTTTTATTTTTGTTTCTTTTAAGTGGTGTCTACTTTTGTCATTTCAATTGGATGGTAATTGATAGAATTATTAAGTTTCCTAAAGACAGTGAAAGGAAGGTTGTCCGTCGAATTAGATCCTAAGGCCACTATTAAAAGTGAGTATATAACTCTCTACTTACAAGGGAACAATTGAACACTACTAATATCATATATATATATATATAATTTTAAATATAATATGAAATAATATAGGCAAGGGTATTTTCTGCATTTCATGAAAAATAATAGCTGATGTCATCATTTTCCGTCGTTGATTGCCGCTGACTCTCACAGAAGGGTGGTCCGTGTAGGATATTTTTAAAAGTTGGAGAGGTCCGCGTAATTTTCAAAACAAGAAGGGTGCTGCCTGTAATTATAGCAAACCATAAGGAAGATCTGTGTAAATTACCCTCTTTTTTAAAAAAAAAAAATACCCCCTGTATATATAACCAATTCAACAAATATATATATATATATATATATCTTGAGGTTTTTTTACACCTATTCTATTAATTATTGAATATATATTGAGGTTTTTTTACACCTATTCTATTATATATATATATATATATATATTCAATAATTAATAGAATAGGTGTAAAAAAACCTCAATATATATTCAATAATTAATAGAATAGGTGTAAAAAAACCTCAAGATAGAGGGGAAAACCCAAAAAAAAAAAAAAAAACACTAGAATGATGGGAGGGGAGGAGCAAAAAAATAAATTTTGGAAAGGTAATAATATAAGAAAGTAATTAAAATTTTGGGGCCTCTCCGCCTATTAGTTGAGAAGAAAATAAAATTTTTAAATAAAAATACACGAGAAAATAAATTTTTTTGAACCATTTATTAATTGGGGCCTTAAGTCGCAGAAAATAAAATTTTTAAATAGAAATACACGAGAAAATAATTTTTTTTGAACCATTTATTAATTGGGGCCTTAAGTCGCGTAAGACTTTAACCACCCCTTATCACGGTTAGACGAAAGTCAATTAAATAGTTTACTTTATCAATTAATATATATGTATAAATATCATCAAGCAAGTTAACAAACACTATAAGTGAGACCAAAAGTGAATATTCAACCAAGTTTACGCGTGGTACACTTTGATAGCGAAACTTTTAGTTGGAATTTAATATGCATTTTGACTTGTATGTTCTGTGTTTTTAACTTTTCATTAATAATATATGTGCTTTTAAAAAAATATGTGACACTACATGCCTGGCGTAGACACATAAGAAATATGTTAAAAACAAAATAAATTGACGCGTATATACTCGTTGTTTTCTACTATGTTTCTTCTTATACAAAATATGCACTTTAACAAACTTGAATTTTCAATCTTTTACTTAGATTTTTTTTTTTTTTTTTTTACTTAGATGGCAAGGAGGATGTTGTGGAATTTATTATTGTTGCATTGTTGGGCTCTAAGGGGTGCTACTATTAATATGTTTCTTTCATGACAATAAGTCCAGTTAACCCAAAACTTTCAGGGTTGGGCTTAATGGGCCAAACATCCACGAGGTCTTGGGCCTGAATTCTTTATTTGATGAGCTTGCCTAGATACTGGCATAGACCGTGAGATTCACAGTACGCCTTAGTATGGGTGGTACTTGATCTTGATGGTTGATCCTCGTCAGTTTCTCTCTCTATTCTTCGAATTTGTAAGCAAGGACACGCAGACTCTCGCCGTATCTCTGGAATCATCAGCAAACAGGTTAAATTCGAAGCCACTTAACTTAATTTCACTTTTTGGTCTCTGATTTGCAATTACTTCACTTATTGTGTTTTTGGTTATATATTAACCAATTTTGCTCAGATCATATGCTTTGATTCATTAGTATGTGTATTTATTGTAGAATCCCTATATCAATGTATATGTGTATCTGTGAATACTTACACGGGCGGTCTGTAATTTGATACTTAGGGTTTGATTTTCTGAGTAAAATTCCTCTGATTGTTCCTCTTGAAGGGGTCACAAGTACTTCCAAAATGTGAACTGAATAGTGCTATATTTATTGTTGTTTTCGCTGAATTGATGGTATCTGATTCGGTTTAGGAATCTTATTCCCTTTGCTTCATGTTATAAGAATTCAATCTTGTGACATTGAACTCTTATCACTTTGCATTCGCAGAACAGCTAAAGAAGTAATTGAAGCAATGGAAAAACATCTTCTAGAGAGTGTACGCACGGTGGTTTTCAAAGAATCAGAGACTCTGGAAGGCTCTTGTCTTAAGATCGAGGGCTGTGATTTCAACCAAGGGGTGAACTATTCTGAACTTCTCAGGTCCTTGATCTCTACTGGTTTTCAAGCCTCCAAACTTGGAGAGGCCATTGACATCGTTAATCAAATGGTTAGTTTCAATTCTAAGAAAATCCCCCAAATTGGGTTTCTTTTTTTCTTTTCGTTTTTTTTTTTTTCCTGAATTTATTTGTCTAATTTTTGAAGTTAGAGTGGAGCCTTGCTGATGAGTGTGTGACGGAAGATTGTAGTGAGGAGGAGAGAGACCCGGCATATAGAGAGTCCATGAAGTGCAAGGTTTTTCTGGGTTTTACTTCCAATCTCATATCGTCTGGTGTTCGAGACACGGTTCGCTATCTTGTTCAGCATCACATGGTAAGTGAGTGATGTGATAGTGTTTTGTTTTGATATATTCAAATGGTATGTATGTGTCTGATGAAATCGTGATTGTACTATCAATTGCATGGAACTTTAGTCATTTTTATTTATTTATTTTTAAAGCAGATAAAGCAAAGTTGCTGAAACAAATTAGAACAAGCCATGATGTCGTAAAAAAAATTAACTTTAAATTAGTTTTAGTTCCATGTATTATGTTCAAATTGTGGTCCTTCGGAAAGGAAGAACAACAGAATTTGGTGTTGGATTCAGTTACATACCTGAGTTTTGGGATCTAACTCTGCATTATTGATGAACCAGTTTCTGTGTTCTGTGATACCCACCTTAAATATTTGCATAGTTGTGAACTATCCTGGCATACTATGTAATTGTACATCGTTATGAATCAATTCAATGAACAGTTTCAGTGATGGCCATTTTATTATTTTGACATTATCTAATACAAATGTTAACTTTATGAATGCATATTCTATATCCCCAAATGTATTGGTCGTCTTGACTTGACTCGTAAGTTATTGGGAAATTTGAGCAGTTCAGAGCTGGAATTTTTTCTTGCCTTGAGTTTTAACTCCCATGCTCAAGATGTTGAAATTATTGCATTCTGACTGCAGGTTGATGTGGTGGTTACAACAGCTGGTGGTGTAGAAGAAGATCTTATAAAATGTCTTGCGCCCACATATAAAGGTGATTTTACTCTGCCTGGAGCTCATTTACGGTCAAAAGGATTGAACCGCATTGGTAACTTGTTGGTTCCCAATGACAACTATTGCAAATTTGAGGACTGGATCATTCCAATTTTTGACCAGATGTTGGAAGAGCAGACTGTAAAGGCATTCCTCTCTACCTTGATTCCGTGCATACTACAGACAACTAGTTCAGAACTTTCTAAACATTTATTATTTTTAATAAAAACTTCTATTTTAACATTTTCTCACCTTGGTAGCTTCTTGGTTGCGTGGCTTTGGCTTTTTTCTGCTCAAATTTAGTTATGGTTGGATCTTGAGACTTGAATTTTTCTGGATCCATGAAAGCCTTTGACTATTAAGAGTTTCAAGCATGGAAGTGTGGTTTAGATCTGTATAAAATGCAACTCTATCGCATTATGTTGGTTAGAGATATGAACATCATGCCTCCACGTAATGAAAGAAAGAGAATGGTGATTGGTTCATAATGAGTTATTAATATTAACCCAAGTTTCTCTGGGATCTGCTTACTAGTGAGGAATAATACCTTATACATCATGCACATTGGTTGGTAGTTATTTTATAGAATGCTCAACCCGCTGCAAAAAGAAACACAACATTTTATCTTTTAGATTTTTTTTTTTTTTTTTTAATCTCTCACCCTCTCTCTCTTTTACTAGACCACTCCTTTTTTGTATTGTTTGTTCAGTTATTTTTTTAATCCTGCAATGCTCTGCTAGAACATAATGTACTTCAGTTCTAACCTTTCCTTTTTGTTTCACAGAATGTATTATGGACGCCATCTAAATTAATTGCTCGATTGGGGAAAGAAATAAATAACGAGAGTTCATACCTTTACTGGGCATACAAGGTGGGTGTCCATTCAATTGTATCTTGATTTTTCTAGATGCAAGCTTAAGATTTTTAAACTCATCATATTACTTCTGTATCTTCTTCTCTCTCTCTCTCTTTTTTATTATTTATTATTTATTATTTATTTAAACATTTGTATTGTTAATATTTTTGGTGATTTGCATTGGTCCACATGATATAGTAATCTTAAAATAAGAGGTACCTTTGCATGCACTTGCGCTGCTTCCTAAATACATATTGTCTAAGAAGTACAAACACTTGTATATGAAATTTCAAAGAAGTACAAACACTTATATGAGGAGCCGTATTCGTGTCGTTTTCATGTGCAGGATACCGACACTTTGCATATACTTCTTGACATGTGTCCGACTCTTTATGGACGTGTAGCCAATTTTTAAACAAATTTAACTATTTCTGACACTTGTTGATGTTCTCCTGACACTCGGCCGACATTTTTGGGACAATCCTCAACACAAATCTTATATAACACAAACACATCTAAGGTAGCCATGCCTGGTGATGTTGGAAATATGAACATATTTTTTTTTTTGAAAAGTAAAATTGACATTATGCGCATGATTATAAGTCTAGCATACAATGATACTTTTTTGACATAGGACAAAAAGACATGTTTTTAATTATAAAGTAGTGCCATAGTACATAATATAATAATCATTACAATATTCGCATAACGCCATCTTCTAGATTATGTAACTCTTAGTATAGAAATTAAACATTACTTAAAGCTATATAAAAGTCTTACTTGATATATATATATTTTATATTTCCGTATAGCCATGTCCACACCATGCCCATGTCCTACCGTTTTAGGATTCAACGTGCCACTATATCTGTGTCGTATTGTGTTTGTGTCTGTAGCATATTGACCTCTCAGGGTAGTTGCTTTGAGAACCAGCCTTTTTTTTTTCCTTCCTGTCCTTGTACTGTGCATCCAAGTGCTGAAACAAGTTTGTGGGAAATTATAGATCAAAATCTGGTTTGTGAATATTTTTGGATACTGTAAAATTGCGACAAATGATTGTTTAACTGAGCTCTTTGTTACAGTATTACAAAAGAAACTTGCATAACAGTTGGTAATCAGAATTTAAGAATGAATCTTATGGCCATGCAAGCATAACCTATCCAATAAGCCAAGCTCTTGGCATATAAAAAGTAAACATTTGTCTTCATTTCTTCAAGGCATTGGATTATAGGAACATATGTATGCTGTCAAGTTTGGCGTGTTATCTCAATATAAGTGCCTACATTGGCTTGATAACCTGATGCAATCTTTTTAGTTATGATTGTGTAATTTCTGAGTTACACTGATTACACCTCAGTTGCAATATTCATTTCTTTGCAGAACAATATTCCAGTCTTCTGTCCTGGCTTGACAGATGGCTCACTGGGGGACATGTTATACTTCCATTCTTTCCGCAACCCTGGCTTGATCATTGATATAGTGCAAGGTAATGCTTTCCCCTTCACTGTAATTTCATGAGACATATTATAGCTTATGAGGAATCTTCAATTCTTAGTCATATGAACAGATATTAGGGCCATGAATGGTGAAGCTGTCCATGCAAATCCCAGGAAGACAGGGATGATAATTCTAGGTGGGGGGCTGCCCAAGCATCACATTTGCAATGCAAATATGATGCGTAATGGAGCAGATTATGGTGTCTTCATCAACACGGCCCAGGAGTATGATGGGAGTGATTCTGGTGCCCGTCCTGATGAAGCTGTATCGTGGGGAAAAATCCGAGGTTCTGCCAAGACCGTTAAGGTTTAACATTTTTTTTTAATCCCATCTTTTTCTTGGCCGGCAACCTTCAACTTTCTTATATAGTAAACTTTATAGATTTCTTTTATATAATTGCATGGACATGTTGTATTGGTCACTATTTTGGTTATTACGTAGAAGCATGATTCTAATTGTGTTTCTTCCTTTTTCTGGTTCCAACTAGGTACACTGTGATGCAACTATCGCCTTCCCTCTGCTAGTTGCAGAATCTTTTGCCGCGAGGGGGAAGAAATCTGCCAAGACCAAGTCCTAATACAAATTTTGGGAAGATGCAGTTTATATTTGTCAATTACCCTTTATGTAGCCCTGAAGCGATTTAAAACTTATACTTAACTAGGGACTTTTCCACAGCCCAAAAGGATGTATCTACAACCCTCCACATACCCTTGGAGGTATGGGGAATTTGGATACAGCTACAAATGCTTTAGGAAAAATAGCTTTTCCAATGCTTGCCCTATATTATTGTGAGTTAGCTCTAGTTTAGGTAGCCAAGGCATTTTTGGGGAGACATATTATTATTGGGTCAGCATTGACGTCTTTCGACATATCAATTTTCTTGGAATAAGAAAGCTGTGTATTTGGATTCCTCTACTGAGATTATTTGTTTTGCGTGTGTGTATCGTATCATCAGGAACCTGACAAACCATTTGAGGTTTACCGTCTCTGAATCTATGCGACATGCTTGATACACCCGCCCCACTTTTTCTAAACAGTCTGAAAAGTTTCATAATCGTCATAACTTAGCATGTATGTCCGTGGGTAACAGGTAGTTGTTCAGTCTACCAGAAAGAAGTCGCAAAAAAAATTTTCATTTTATTTTTTATTTTTTGAATTGATGAAAACCAAGTACAATTATGAATTACAAATGCCTGTATTATACGAAATGAATGATCGGTGCTAAGAGTAGTAGACGTGATGATACAAATCTAACTTTCGTACTATTCACAAAAACTAGCTATGGTAATGTCTCAAACAATTGTACTTCCAAATTTCATGGACTGATGGAAGCTTTGAAGATTGCAGGGCCTGCTCACAGTTTCCTTCATCCACTAGACCATGGAAATATGATTCACTGCCCAAATTATTCGACTCCACTTGGGGTTTTCCGAGTCTGGTAGACTGCTGATTGACGGGAAGCTCGGTTGAACTCAACCTTCTCTGGAAGTCAGCATTTAATTCTGTATCTCGGTTGTTCTTCGGCAGTACTTCCAGAGAATCCGAGTCATCAGAAGAGGAGTCTAGCCGTGGATTTCTGTCAGATCTTGAATTTCCTTCCTTCACAGATGAAGATCCCGTTACCGCATGTCTTGCTCTTTGTGTTGGCTTATGGTTACTGCTGTGAACATTCTGTTTCCGGGGAAATGTACTTGAGTCCATTGTCCCACTACGCCTAGACTTGTCCAGCTCATCTTCACTTTCTGAATTCTGATTATCTGAATCATCAAAAGTTACAGGTGACAAGTTATTTGGTTTTGAAGGCTCTGCAGATTCTGTAAAAATTGGAGAAGGGTGGCATTCCTTGGAAGAATGCAAATGTGAAGTGGACTTCTCCAATGATCCACTCGTGTCTTCTCTGAAGCTCCAAGAATCTGCAGTTGGTGAGAGAGGGCAAGTGATTTTCTACCTGGTGATAGGAAATACTTGGAATCCTGTTCATCATACTTGGGCCCTATATCAAACTTATATTCATCATCATCTGATCCAGATTCATCAAAAAATACAGCAGCATTATCATATGAGCTTGTTTCTCTACAGTCTCTAGTAATGTTTCCTTCATCAACTGCCATAAAAGGGCGAACAGCATCATTTGCCAAGTTGTTGTGGTTAGAGTTTGTGACATCATAATCATCACCAAGAGTGCTAGAATGAGAATGAGAGGAGATGTTGCTGGATTGTTTTGTGATCGTCTCTTCTCCAAAATAATTGAAGTTCTCAGATTTCAAGCCATCTTGTAGGTCACTCAAATTCTTCCTCAGACTCCTGCTTCTTCATTTTCATTTTGATGACATGCTCATTCGCTTTTACAGCCTCGTCTTCTGATGAGCCCCTTTGAGAATATCTACCTACCTTTTCTAGTCTATTCGGCGCGTCATCATCAATTGAAGTCCTGCGCGGCCTCGAAGAAGCTGATTGACTAGATCTCTTAGTACCACCATGACCATCCTGGTAAAACCCCTCAGAATTTCTCACCAGGTAATCATGCTCATTCCTATATATTTGTTCATTGTGGATCTCATGATTTCTGTCATTAAAGGAGTTATTCACTGAGTTGTTAGCAAGAAGCTCACCCGGCAACTTTCAAGCATCATAATTTCCAGTCCCTTTGTCTTTTATACCACGAACATTTAACTTCTGTGATTCTGTGAAATACTGCCTTGAAATCTTGCCAAGGCTTCAAAGTTCTGCTGCAGCTCTAGCAGCAAATGCTTGCTCGTTCTGCAGATTCGGCAGCAGCCTGTGCTGCAGAGGTTGCATCTTTAAATTCCATATTCCAATTTTGAACACCAAATGAAAATTCATTCCTATCTCTAGAAAATGATTGCTCGACTTCCATCCTCTCAGCTCCTATTCCTGTGGGACAGAACAACGCATGTTATTAATAACAGACGGACATTTAATAGTAAGTTCTATAATTCAAGACTGAATACTGTACCTGAAGGTCTCACTTGAGGGCGAGAAGTTGTGGACGTTGTTTTAGTGCCACCAAGATCTGCTGAAGCAAAATTAATGAACCATCTGAAAATGGTCAAATCTTACCAGCAAATCATCAGGAGGCTTTGAATCTCCCTCACCAACTGAGTTAGGATCCCATTTGATGTTATGTTCCTCTGCAATTGCGCTCAAGATCCTAAGTTTAGTCTGCCCATCAGCTATAAATTTAAGTCACTATCCAACTCCAATAATAAGGTTGCTCCTTTCCTTGATCATTTTGCCTTTAACAAGTTTCATTACGGTATCCAATTTCTACTGAAAACATTTGAGAATAATATGTTTCAGATTCAGAGTGAAATGTGTCAATCATTTTTAACTAACCAGTTTTCAGCTTCACTACATTTTGTACAAAAATAATTTTGATTTTTTAATGTAATTCTTTTGTCTGTTACGAAGAAGCATGAAGTACCAGATGCGTTTGGGCTTATTGCATAATGAAAGTACTACCAGTAAAAATAACAACCAATCTTGAAATTTATAAACTGTAAACTGAGGATATCATTCAAGATTGTATAAATTTTTACGTACTTCTGTAACTCAATGATAGTCAAGCGTGCCACAATAAGTTTCATTTAGCTAACAATTTTGTGCTGAGACTCAGAAATGAAAACCAATGGCCACAATGACCACAGAAATCAATCTGTGTATGGGTGAGATATATATATATATATATATATATGTTGGGGAGTGGCTACACGCACTTTGCGCATTGGCCGAACTATAAAATCACTTCCAAGTACCAACATAAATTATTAAAATAATAAAAACTTTAGAAGGGAAAAAAAAGGGCATCATCTTCAACCACGTTTTTAAAAGGCTTGTCAACTTTTAAAGGCTATAATTGTCTTGATGCTCCTGCCTCAAGTGCCAAAACAAACCAACATAGAAATGGAGGGCCTCTATATCCCCTTCGTCCAAGATAAAACAAAAAAACAATTTTGTATTCCTTGCATCAACAACTGCATATTTAACATATAAGGTGCATTGTTAGTTAACATGCTTGCTTTTCAATTAGTAAATTTTATAGTAGTCACAAAGAGTTTATTCCCCAGCTTAGCTATTGCAACACAACTTCTCTGCTACTTCCATTTTTACTTAACTATGGACATTGGTGTGACAACTCAACCTCTTAATGCACTTTTCTCATTCACTTCAATACACAAGTACTTGCTTTCTGGGAGGGAGATGGGGAGAGAGAGTAAAAAAAAAAAAAAAAAAAAACTTTCAATTAGCACTAACACTATTCCAAACAGTTTTGTGCACTTAGATGTCTCCAGCCTGCATTTTTTAATTCACTGTACATAACCATTCGCCAACTACTTCAGGATCAAAGGGGCTCTTACAACAAGCAATATAAAGTTCATTGAAATACTGAAACCCAAAATAAGGCATTCTATCATCTAAAATTTGTAAAGCAGTGCCAATAATTACAAAAGTTGCACCACTCTCCTCCGATTGAGATAAGAGATTCGTCTGGTTTGATCATTGAATAATTAGGTTACAATTATAACCAGAACATTAACTTAAAATCAATATGAAAGTAACTGAAATATTAAATCAGAAATAATAGTTTAACTAAAATATTAAGTCAAATTACAATACTGGAATGGAAATTACAATGAAAATTAACTTACAAAATTACTGATAGATATCGGCTGTGTACAATATATTGGTGCTGTATTGCTGTCCGAAATGATAGAAAATAATACAAATAAATATTACAATGGAAAATTTCTTGAAGCCTGAATTCTCTCTCTGGAGCCTGATTCACCAATGGAATGGCATCGGAATTTATATCCATGCTTCTGAAATGTTGAAGAACTATTGGAGACATCTCTCCGGAATCTGCGGCGTAACTTTTAGCTTTAAAAGATGCTTCTGACTTTCCTGACTGAGATGTTTTTGCTTTTAACTGTAGATGAATAGTGTTCATTGTTCGTGTCGTTTTATGCCGACAGCGACGGCACTGTAGATGAATAGTGTTTTTGTCGGGGGACTGTAGAAATAGTGATTCTGACCAAATAGTGATTTTGACTTGGATTTTGTACTTTGACTTTGATCATGCAAATGGATCTTGGTTATCCTGATACAAAGAATCATTATACGAATTCCTTGGGTGACTTGATTCAGCAGCTGAGGATGCATCATCAGCCTCTTCATCATCCTGAGAGAGGTCTTGGATGCGGTCTAAAATTGATGCTGCCATTTCTTTGAGTTAAGCAATTTTTGACTTAGGAGGTCTTCTAGATCGAGTTGTGTTCTCAGAAGAGGCCTGTTATGGATTACTTTGCTTGAAATTTTGTGTTGCAGTGACTGGAGTAACATGTTTGGGAATATGTTTTGGAAATTCATCTTCAACATAACCCATGATCCTATCAATTTTGAAAGTGTCCCACCATTTGACGTAATGGCGTCGAATGGCTGTATTATTTTGGATATCATATTGCCATTTGAATATTCAGGGGACCTTATATTTGCAAAAGAATAGGAGGAGAATTGGAAACTGGGAATTGTGTTTGTTAACTTTGTAAATAGTAAGAAAATATTTTACTTGGTCTGCCAAGGTGAGAGGCAAGATTTCTGGAATGGCGCCATGTTGTGACCACCATTTGAGAAACCAGGTTGAGATTTGACTTTTGAACTTGTTATCAAAATTGATAAACCAAGAATGAGTAAATGACTCATTATGTAGTGTTTGTAAACAGCTTATTTCATTCGTTTCAAAATGACTCAATAGATTATCTTAAATGGTAAAAGCATTGCCATACAGTAGGGTTTCGTACTTTAGGCTGTTTCTTCATAAACATTTCCAATTCCTGCTATTGCTTAAATCTCATATTGTTTATTATGGTAGCCCATACCATCCTTTATTCAGATAATCACCTCAAATTAATTAGAAGCAATAACTTTTTATGCCAATAAAGAATAAATTTCAGTAAGAATGCAAAGAAAAACCTATTTTCACATGTACATACTATGAAAATATCTCATCTGAAAAAAAATATAAATAAATAAATAAAAATAAATAAAAAATTGAAAAAAAAAAATGATATACAGATCTGTGTAAACATACTCATTTATATATCATACCCGAATTCGTGCAGTCCGGTCCTGTCCTGACTCGAGCAATTGAGCCACTTCCTTCTTAAGCTGCTTCAATTGTATTTCCTTCTTGTTCTTCAATAGCTTTATTTGGGCCGACGCAAGCTTTAATGATGTCTTGCTGCATAGATCATCAATTTCAAAAGAAAAAAGAAATTCTCATCCATAAAAGTTTCATTCACATAATCAAACACTCCAATCAACCAAATCCATATACAAACACACACATAATATGTATATATGAGAATTTTTTTTATTTTTTATTTTTTTTGACTGACTGAGATTAGTAACCATTTGGCGGGTTTGAAGCTCCTATGTGGCATTATGGGCTCCAAAATTGATGCAGAAAATCTGCTGTTTTTGTTTGTTGATGGGGAGAGATAAATTTCTGAGCAATCAATCAAATTATTCAATTTAGGGAACTTTGAAATGATGGAACGGAAGAATCAAAAAGAAGATAGAAACGATTTGATTAAAGTTTTGGGAGGTTCTGATTCGTTAACCGAAGACCTCTCTTTTCCGTATTTATATATAAATAAATTAAAAGGAAAAGGAAAGGAAAAATCAAGAACTTGTGATAGAAAGAACCAGGAAATGACAGGACTGACTTTTTCTTTTTAACCAAATTACAACCAACAATATCTTGTTCAATTAAAAATAAAATCAAATAAATATATAAGGGCCATTGCAAATTGCAGTGAGATAAATATTGACATTATTGTAGTAAAACAAAATAAAATATATACGGAGTAGTAACTATTGTTCGGCTTTAAATTTAGTAAGCACCTGCAGCAAATTTATGGATTCCAGATCCGCAGTATTACCCGAGTGGTAAACGGCTCGCATAGTTATATGATAATGAGTTTTGGTTCAGTAACTGTAGCATATTGAGAGCAGTTGTTTTTTAATTTTTACAGGATCTAGAGATCATATAAAATGCATTTGATAATGTATGGTTGTAGAACCGATCCCATCATATGGGATGGGATAAAGGCAAATATGACAACAATGAATGTATGGCTGTAGAAGTGTTTAAAACTTATAAAGTAAATTCATAATTCACAAAAAAGATAGTTGGAGTCTTGGTGGTTGCCATGCTTATTCTAGCTTTTGTCGCACGGGTTTCAATTCTGGCAACTACAAAGTGCTTATACTTTTACAGAAAAGGGGATAAACTTAGCATTCCCCCTAGAATTGGCAATGGTCTGCTTTCACGAATTCGAATCCTGTGAAATATTTTCTAGGCCTCTTTTCCGACACCACCTCCTCCCCCCTCCTTGTAAGAAAAAAAGAAAACTACTCTCTTCCCAAATTTAACAGATCACAAGGAGCCATATGTTTCCAATTAGGATATTTTTTGGACCTTTAAGCTGTTCAGTTGCCTATATTTTGTTCTAGCAATAATTGAAGTTCTCATGGCATCCAATTTTTATCTATACACCTTAGAAGCTTGCTATGATTCTCATTTTTTTCCTATTTCTAATTTAGGGTAAACTACGCTGACCACCCTTGAGGTTTGGGATAATATCACATGACTTGACGTTTGCAAATGTGTTTGAGAATTTTGACCCTTTTACCATAAGAAAGACTATATCCGTCGGACAGATTTTCAAAGGATGAAACAATCATCTGAAATACTTCTACCATTTGATCATCAATATAGGGAAATTCTGGTGCTGTAATCCTTGTTAACTCACTAAGGCATGAAGCTAACATCACAATTTGAATGCTTTAAAAATTCTTTAGCAATTAAAGCCTTCATTATTGGAGAGAGTGCAGCTTGCATTGGAGCACATGTGTCCTGGTGTATTTTGCAAAGCAAGTGATGAGTTTTGTTAAGCAACCAAAGGAACTCATTGATTGAGGATGGAGGTTGAAAAAAAACCTATTTCCAATTTTCAAAAGTTGTTGTTCCAAATTTATTTTCAATGTTGTTTTTTTTTTCCCTTTCATTTTCACACCAATTAATTCGATTTTCGTGTGATGGGAAGCTTGGTTTGGACTCAACAATCTTAACCTTGCTTGGCTTAGAACAAAGCCATTGGGGACATAAAACAGTGTTCTCCTCTGACATTGCTAAGAAGATGTATCAGCTAGGTTGTTGATGGTCATGGTGGAATGGTATGACATAAGAATGGGTGAGGATAATGTTGACATAGAACTCTAATTGAATTAAGTAAACTAAATTAAAAACTCAAACAATGCACAACTAAGAATTCTGAATGCTATGAAATCTATTAAGCCAAAATTCATGCACTGATTTTAAGTGTTTAGGTGTAAAATAAGGTGGAAACAATGAAAAAAAATTATTAGTATTATTATTATTATTATTTTTAAACCTTTGGCAAGAAAGGCATTCAAAGGAAAATAATAGTAAAAGAAATACAGTAAATAATTTGGTTCAAGAATCAAATGGGTTCAATTAGGACCTTTTGCAATTTCTAAACTAATCAAATAGATAAAAGTACTACAACAATTTTAATTGAAGTATATGTACCTTTTTGAAGTCCAATGTAGAATTGAATGCTCCCCTCCCAGGTGTAGAAGACTACCCCAAAAGTGGCTGCTTGAACAGTAAACTGGTTCAATTCTAGGCTGGGTCCAAAACTAGGATAACTCTGAACATGTAGCCAAACAGTGCCAATCTGATCCTCTGATATATATATATATATATATATATATACACCCTGGACCTTCTTTCCAAAGGAAGAAGAGAACAAAACTTTAGGCTTGACCCTGTGACCTAGCAATGATAACAACGAACCGCAGAATCGACTGCGGCAACGGCCAGCAATTACTCCAGATATGATTATTCCGGTGATGGCGACGAAAACTAACAATGGCAAGGACAACGCGATGCGATTCCGACGATGGTTTCCGGCGATGATGTTTGTAGCAGATTCCGTCGAGGATTTGTAGCTGCGGTGAAGGTTGAAGACGATGAGAACGAACAAGAAGCTCTTTGACAACGGCGACTGTTTCAGATTCCGGCAACTGTGGCAGATTCTGGCTTTGATGTGCAGAGAATATTCTGGTAAGGAAAGCTGTTGATTATTGGCGTGAGGGGCTGTGGATTGCGCTGGTGGGTTGGGTTCGCTTCAGAAGTCTATGGGTTTGGGTCTATGGTTTTCGGGTCGATGGGTATGGGTTTTGCAATTGGGTCTTGTTGCTAAGGTTTGGGTCTTATGATTGTTGGCTTGGTTACAATGGCCGGGTTGGATCCAATCACTGTTAGGGATTCAATTGGCTCAGGTCTTGTTGTAGAAGGTGGCGCAGCTAGGGTTTGGAGGGTGGTGGCTGACAACAACGATTTGAATAGGTGATGGTTGTTGTTATGGGTGGCAGTAATCAGGGTTTCGGTTGAGATTACAAGGAACAGTGGGTAAATACTATGATGGTTGCGATGGATGATGGCAGCGGCAGTGGTGGCTTGGGTTTTAGGGTTTGTTTGGATTGCAGACGGCAACAACAGCTAGGGTTTTGTCTGGATTGATTGTTGATAAAAAGTACGGGTTTGATTGTTGATAAAAAGTACGGGTTTGATTGTTGTGAACGGTAGAGTGCGAGTTTGATTGTTGTGAAGAGTAGAGAAATCTATGGATCTTTTCCTGATATCAATTGATGCAGCAACGGGTAGGGCGATTCGAAAACATAATTCAAGTAAATAAGAAATAGGTTAAGAAACGTTATGGATGGCATCATTTCTGACTCTCAAAATGTCTTTGTGGGAGGTTGTCACATTTTGAATTCCATTCTTATTACTAGTTGTGACTTCCGTTTGAGTTGTGGGATTCCGAATGTTTTATGCAAGCTAAATATTGAGAAGGCTTATGACCATTTGAGTTGGAGCTTCCTCCTCTACTTATTGGAGAGGATGAAATTTGGTGGGCGTCGGAGGAGATGGATTATTTTTTGTATTTCTAGTGCTCAATTCTCTATCATTATGAATGGAGCCCCGGCGGATCTTTGAGAAGTTTTCGGGTGGGTAGGGATATTGCTAGTCAACTGTAAATCTCCCACTTGATGTTTGTGGATGTTACGTTAGTGCTTTGTGATGCAGATGCGTCCTAACCGAGATAGTATTTACAGTACTTTTTAAGGCACCCTTTCTTGCAATGGCATCCTTTGTTGTGCTTTCCCAACGCTAAAACTTCCCCAACCTCCTACATATATTTCAAAGTCAATTTGCATGTCAACAGCAGCCCAATACAAATGCAATGTTTAGAATATACCAACAATACATAATTATATTTAAAACGAGAAGTACTATCTAATTTGGTTCCATTCATCCAGGACTTTTCCTTCAATTTCACATTTATACTCTCCAAAGACCAATCGCATATGAGATATTCAGACAAAAGTAGCAAATAATAAAATTACCATCTTTCGGAAAAGCAATATCATGCCTCCCACATAATGATTTTTGAAGAACTACAAAAATGCATATGATTTGACACAATATTTTCTAACCAAAATTATTGGATATTTATTGGGTCTATAATAGCTTAATTATTTTTATGAATTGTGATTCGTAGCATTTTACTTTGTTTATTATTTGCACAATCAAGTTGTTTTATGTAGCCTAATTTCTACCATAGGTTACATTTTTTAAAACGTTAGTATTGCAAAATGAAAATCCTCCTAACGGATTAAAAACCTTGCTTTCTGTGTAACTGGACTACTGTTCTCCATACATATGTTAATAAAGATACATACCCTAATCAACCGAGATGCATGAGGACTGTTACCAATTTTTGGTCGGAATGCATTTGGATTACGTTCTAAAGTAGCTTCAACTGCTTCTCCGGCCACCTCATTTTCAAAATTATTATGACAATTTACACAGTTGCACCCATCACAGTATATTCCAGATGCAAAGCACTCACACTAACTGAGCAACACGTCAACATAACAATCATTATTATTATGCAGTACATAATCCATCAAGAAGCATTTCCAGGAAGATAGAGAAAGAATACATTAGAATTCTTATTTTTAAATATAAGTATGGTTGGAAATATTTGTAAAGATATAATATAAGTTCTCAATCACCTATCATAAATCCTAAAGAGTTACATTATAATTTTCAATGCAACCACTATATAATTGCTCCGTAGGACAAGTGCACAACATCTACATTACATGGCATGGTATATTATATAATGTATAGTAAAAGTATGTTCATATCTAAGATATTTAGTAGAAGGGTTCCAAAAACTTCCCCTAAGGTGGTTGGAATATTCTAGAGGCCTTATCATATTCACTAGTTTGTTTTGATCTCAAAAGTTGATTATGAAAACTATTTCAGCATACTAATAAAGGAAAACATTGTTTTTACTCTTTAATTATATATTACCAAAAGTGTATCTTTTAAGCAGTGTTTACCATTGCATTGTTTTTGCTGTTTTTGCTTCTTCGGAGTACCATCTTTTGCTTCAGCATTTTGCTTTGTTCTTGTTCTTGGAGATTCTGATTTTCTGTAGGAAAAAAAAATAATAATAATAAAGTCAGTCAAAGTGCTCAACTGCGCCAATATATAAAATAGAAAAATCATCAATTCTTATTATTCATATCCAAGAAATAGAAACAGTAGACAAACTCCATAAAAGGGGCTATTTCATGATCCACAAGTTGGTATTAACCCCGGCAGGAGAGTGAATGTGCGTACGCATAATAGAACCTATTAAGTGATTTAACAAAGAGAATTTGAAAAATGTATATTAGTAATGTATTGACATAATTTTGTCAAAACATATTCAAATTATACCAAGTTAAGGTTGGTACTAAAGAATAATAGATAAACAACCAAATATTAAAGAGACAATCAAAACATCTAAACCCTTTGGAATCCAACATTTTGATAACATAACTTCCAAGATCTTCCAAACAAATTTGAAATTGTTCCAACAAACAGAAAAGGTATAGAAACTTTACACCGGGCTTATTGGAGGATGAGGTGTCCGAGATTGCATCGGCATCAACTGTGCAGTGGCGGCTGCATCTGTGCGCTCGTCTGTGGCTGTGTTGGTGGCGGCAGCGGATGAGTCGCGGGATGCTGAGGGTACTCCGGCAGCACAACAGTTGCCGACGAAGCACCACCGAAACCGGTAAAATCCAGCTGCCTCGCGAGCCTCTTACCTGGATAATCCGAGGTCGCCGTCGACAGTGGGGTGCCCGATTGAGCCTTTTCTGTAGGTAAATCCCCTCCTTCGCTTTGCTCCATCAACTTCAAGTTCAAAATCCAAAAAACGCCCAAACAAATTCAAAAAAAAATCCAAGATTCCAATAAATGAACTCAAATTCACTGATTTCTCTCCGAGAATCACAAAATTTTCACAAATACCGGCAAATTCAAAATCATTATCGTCTGAACATACAATTGGAAATCGGAAACGCTATCGTTAAAATAGCTCAGACTTATGCCAAAATCCACAAAAATGTTAAGTCGAAAATTGTAGCAAATTGACCTGAATCAACGAAACTTCGATCCCTACGTATATACCTACATACATATAACTATAAATACACAGAGAGAGTGATGTGATGAGAAAGACTCAGCTAAGATGCACAGAGAAATCGAGGGAAGGGAAACCAGAGAAAGAGCAAGTGGCTTATGTCGCAACTCCCTCCCCAGCTTTTGAATTTGTGAAAATTGGACGGTAAGATTACCGTGATAATGGCATCCTACGGTGTTTATTGAAATATTTAATCTAAAGGACGGAATTCATAGAAGGCTGGAAGCTCATTGTTACACCGTTCGATTAAAAAAATTGTGTATTTTACTGGAACTTGTGTGAATCGAAGCGAGTGGTAGCGTACGAAGAGGAGCTATCTGCTATTATTGATATTAAGATTGAGCCTTGCGACTTTCCATAGCAATCTAGCCAGCATGGCAAATGTATTTCCGAAATAGTGTGTGTCAAGATATGAGTGGACAAATTAATAAACTTTGACGAACTAAAGAGTACCTTATCAGTTTTTGTGTCTTAGGATTCTGCTTCTTTAAAAAAGAAACAACAATTAATGAAGTGGAAATATTGGCGCCAAAGAGTTTACGAAGGTGTTGACTTGTGACGTTATGGGTAAATTCTATTCTTCGATGTGCGGTAGAGATTTATTTATTGTTAACATGACACAATGAATCGACGGACAAGATTTTAAATACACGGATAACTACGAGAACTCAAACTTCTTGTGCTGTATAACTGTGTTGAGCGATTCAAATATTTCGAACTCCTACTCAAAATTTCACATAATATAATTTACGTTTTTTTAGTGCAGAATAACACGATATCTGAGAATATTTTTCAACCATATGAAGTCAAATAGATAAATCTATATTAGAACCGCATGCTCCACAACACACACAGCATAATACATTGAGAAAAGGTTCTGAAAACCTCTGTTCCAGAATAACTAGAATTTATATAGCACCAAAAAAAAAAAAACACACATTCAATAAGCGCCCTACATGCGATTTTTGTTGTTGTCGATAAGTACAAAAGATGAGAAAATTAATGAAGATCTATTTGTTTTAGTTAAAACATAAAAGCCACATAGAATACGACCGGCATGCCGCACCAATATGTGAAAAAACATCACATTATGAAGCAGATGTAAGCAGAAACAAGTATAAAGAGCCACTTTGCTTCAACATTGCATCGCAACATAAACAAGGCCATAATACATGACAAATTAGCCAACCTCCACATTTACAAAAAAATTTAGTTATCAAAGGCAGTAAGGGCCTAATAAGGCCAATGAAAAATACTAAAATTTAAAATGCTTCTGGGTGTTTTAAAATGAACCAGATCAGATACAATGAAGCCATTAGAAAAGAGATACAATGAAGCCATTAAAGAAAGTGGATAGAGCGCCGCTAATAATATACGGTCAATCATACGATTTAAGAAATGCATTAGTTCAAAAGTTTTTATCATTTTTTTTTTTTTTTCATTTTATGTGATGATAGGAACAATTTAACATAATGCATGGCATAATTAAAACAATGAATTGATGCATGAGATTATGAATGTTGTTGGATGAAAATTTTTACAGTGTTCAAAAATTTTGAAACAAAGGATAATTTGCAAAAAAAAAAAATCTTTTTGTATGGATCTATCCTAACCCAAGCCATTCCTTGTTTTACTGAAATTTTGAAATGAAGGGATAATTTCCAAAAATCCTTTTTTGGATGGAAAATCCTACACCAAGGCATTTCTTGTTTAACTCAATTGAAAAAAAAAAAAAAAAAAGGAGTGGTATTTTTATTGTCATTCCATTACAATGGATGTTCCAAAATATTCTCATCAAGCTCCTTTTTTAAAAAATAAAATAAAAAAGGCACATAGAAGCTTAATCTAACAAAACAAATAGTGAACAACTCAAGTAGTAGATCCCACAGTCACATAAAACCTCAACAGGGTGTGACTGATTTTAGGGAATAATAACAGAAGAATGAAAAAAAAAATGACAGGAAAATCCCTTACAGAATGTTTGTCTGTAAGTATCGCATATTACTAATATGCACAATAAGTATACATGCATACGCAAGTAAAAGAACATTATGCCTATATGAAAAAAATATACGAACACTAAGGGCACTCAAACTCTAAAATAACTTTTAAACTGGCACTCTTCAGCACTAAGCTCTGCTAACTCAAGTTTAGTTCATTTCAGTTCTTGATAAAATACATGACAATACCAACGAAACAAAAAATAATAACAAAGACAAAAAAAATAACTTTCTTACAAACACAGAACTAAAAAGCTAAAAACACACCAAACAGGACTGTAACAGGCACCTAAACTTGCTATGCACTCTATAGGAGTTACCATCCAAGACTTGCAAATTGATTATCTCAAAAAAATTGGTTAAATATCAACAACCCCCATGACCTACCATTCCATTAGATGTGTTGTGAATTGACACAGTTAAGACCAAATTCCATTTCACGTAAACCAGTCTTCCAATCTCATGATATAAATCAGAGGATATTACCCAGTATCGTTCTCATTAATCGAGGATCCTGGGAAGTACGGTCTGTGCCAGACCTAATTTTCAGAATCATTAACGCAAACTGGCTGCCAAAAGACCCGATTCTATGTCTCATACAATGCTATGTTTGGTTGGAAGGAAAGATTGAGGAAGGATGGAAAAAGCTTCCCTCATTTGGTTGGATGAAAGGGAATAGATAAAAGATGGAATGAGCTTCCCTCATTTGGTTGGATGAAAGGGAAGAGAGGGAGGAAGCATCCCTCCTAACCTATGTTTTTTTTTTGTCCATCCAAAATTGGGCGGAAGAGTGAAGGGATAGAAAGAAAAACAAAACTGTAGTATATGTGACACAAATTTTAACCTTCAATTATTTACTAAATTACTTTGTTAAACCCTACTAAAATTCTCTTACACATACAGAACAATTGCATTTGTCCTCGTGGTCATATATTGGTAAAAAAATATATATAAAAACTCACATTCTCTTCCTTCCAACCAAAAAAATAATAATGTCACCCCATTTATCATTTCAACTATCCCTTCCATTCAACCAAACAAAAAATGAGGAAGACACATTCCCTTCCCAAAGGATGAGGGATGCATCATCCGTCCCTCCTTCTCTCATTTCCATTCATTTTTCCATCCCTCCAACTAAATGGAGTTAATTGTTCAGATGCTTTGGTACTTAAAGGAAATAAGGGATCATCATTAGGACAATATATTTAGATATATGGAGCAAATTATGACTCTTATATTGGAGGAAAGCAATCATATCTCTGTAGAGCTACTTTGTCCTCTTCTAGCTAATGTTAGAAAGGAAAATCAGACTATTTCACCTGAATCTTACAAGTTAGGAGAAAAAGTTTTGAACAATTATGCTACAATTCTTAAGTCTTGTCTTTCAAAAGCTCTACAATCCAT